GTAGTAGTAGTAGTAGTAGTAGTAGTAGTAGTAGTAGTAGTAGTAGTCCTAGTCAGAGTTGTGGGGTCCATCTTGAATCAGGTTGCCTTTAAAAGTCAATCATTTGTAGATGTACATCCATTGCTTACCTTCTGAGGGTTTTATTAGAATCCATTTAGTAGTTTATATGATATTTTACTAACAGCACAGGGAAATGAGCATGCACACTGTATTTACACACAGACGTGGGAGAAAAAAACGTTGTCACCCTTTCACCTTTGGTAGTGAGTGATTTAAAAGTATAATTGTGGGGATCTGTGCCTGCCCCGCTCACCTGTTTACCTCCTTACCAGATGTTTTGTACTTCTCGTGATGAGTGTCTTCACTTTAAATGTTTTACTCTCCTGTGTCTCACTAGGGGAGCATTAAGTGTAATGGATGCACCGGCTCAATCCTTCCTAGTGTTGTTCCTTGTCTCGAGTGTTGATTTGAGCGGGTGCTGTAAGTAGTCGCTGCCCTGTCAGCATCTTTATGTTTTTCTTTTTGGGGTAATAAATACTGTAACTTTTGTTTTATCATCTGAGTTGCCTCTGAGTCCTACTTGCACTTTGGGTTGGTGTCCTGAATGTCTGACACTCACCATCCCTGTGGGTCTGTAGTCCTGAAGCCTTTAGCAAATGGGTTGCTTGCAATTTTTAGTTGAGTGATCTAAAACAAAAAGGGACACAAAAAAGTGCTCTGAACAAAAAGGAAAGGAAGAGATGACATATTTAAGGTAAATATTACTTTTAAACCGGTGCTTGTTACCTCACAAACAATAAAACTTTGCCAAGTCAAAGCACTGATGAGCTTTATTATTATTTTTTAGTTTGCAGTCTGGACCCTGTGGTTCTGTCTCCTACCCTGTGGTTCTGATAGGCGGTAACGGCCATGAACTGCGTCTCAGGGAAGGAGAAGGAGCAGAAGTTCTTGTAGGCGTTCAAATGGCTGTTGGGCGCTGGGTCCACATACACCACGTGGAAGCGTGGCTGATAGCGATGCATAGAGTTCAGAATCATCTGTAAATCAAAACACAACAAACCAGCTGTGATGAAAATATTGTGTATTTAACAATCAAATGGAACTAAAGGCCTAGCTTGTTTTTAAGAAAATGCGATCAACTTATAAAGAAGAAAGAAGATAATTAAGAAGACAATTAAGCATGACCTCATCTGATTTTATGAAATGTCTCAAGATGAGTGCTCAGAGAACGTGTTGAAGATGACTTCTAGTCACTGCCACTCCAAAATTAGTTCAGAATTTGTAAAATAGTTATTTTATTGTTGATCTGTCCAGGGTGTCCCCCGCCTCTCCACAGTGACTGCTGGACATGGGCACAAGTGACCCCCACAACCCAAAAAGGAAGAAGTGGGTAAAAGAGATCGGATGGATGGAAATAAATAAATACAACTCCAGAAGGTGGAAATGAGAAAAAAAAGATGAAAAACCATTTCAGTTAGCTGAAAAATACCTAATAATTAGCTGAATGAGCAGAAAAAAGAACAATTTTGCAGAACAAAACTAGAAGGAGCAGAGAGCAGCTTAAAAGGAGTGGAAGGAAGCTAAAATTAGTCCAAAAAAGCAAAAAACAAAATCTATACTATAACAAAAGCTGAAAGTAGCTTAAAAATCTATTTTTAAAAGCTGAAATTAGCAAAAAGAGGCAGAAAGTAGCAGAAAAAGTTGATATCATTTGAAATAAACACAAAGGTTCACATTAAAATACCTTAAGAATTTTAAAAGCAGGAAAGAAAAGTGAAATTATGCAGAAAGAAGCTGAACCAGCACAACAGCTGAAAGGTTTTTAAAGGGTTTGAAGGATGTGAAGAGAGCGCCATTCATTTTCAATGAGGAAAACATGGCCGACAAAGCTAAATATTTGAAAAAGTACAAATTGCACAAACACCAAAAGTCCTTTTGATTCATGAAATGTTGAAACTGAACAAAAATTGCAGAACAAGTTGCATATAAAATCTCTTTTTCATTTTGTTATAAGTATAGACTTACTTTTCTTCTGTAAAAGTATAGAAGAAAAAACAGATGTGAATAGTTTGTGATGTATAAACATTCCCGCAACGACAGAAGTCCACTTACATGTCCGTTGTCGTCCAGCAGATTGTTGGTGAGCTTGAGCGTGTCGAACGACACCGTCTGCTTCATCCACTGGGCTCCAGGAGCTGGTGAGTCTGGGTGAAAGTGCATCCTGCTCGGAGCTGCCACATCTGCCCGCCCTGCCACCAACCAGGAGGAGCTGTGGAACGCATACCTGAAGGACATGTTTGAAACAAAGAAACAAAATACAAGCGCATCGTGTGTGTCTCCCACATCGTGCCTGACCTGTATCGTTTGTCGTCAACGGGGATAAAATCCATGAGCAGAACATATTCAGCAGCAGGCTCCATCCCAGAGATTCTCACCTGAAACGTTGGAAACATCCTCCTGCAGTTCATGGACATGAACAAACAACAGGATGTAGCAGGGAACACACAAAAAGAGCAAGAAGATGAGCCGAGGCTTTTGTCACCTTCCAGATTTCGTGACGATCATCTCGGTGCCCAGCTGGTCAAACTGGTGCCACAGCGCCTGCATCTCCAGCTGAACCCTGACCCCGCTGACTGGAGGGGCCTTGATGCTCAACAATGACCCCCCATCGGTGCAGCAGGGTAATAATTCACAACTCGGAGACAGCTCGAGACCTGGATGGAGAAGAGATTTGTTACTTTATACACTTTCCTTAATTACACAGAAACACTTACCGTTCATGCTTTGGTGAAATGACAGAAGTTGTTTTTTACTTCTAGTATTTCTGTTTTCTCCTTTTTTGGTTCTTCCACCTCAGCCTCCAAACAACAGCTTCTGTCTCTGCATTAAGACCAGCCGAAACCAAACCCAGAAGTTTTGTAGCATGGAACTGACGGTCAGTGTGTATTTCTTGTGGTTTTATACACCATGAGATGCTCACAGGGGACCTCCAGTTCTGCCTCATCCATTTCAATACAGCGCCACTGACATGCACTAATCAAAGCCTTACGCACTTTTGCGTGCACGCGCCTCCAAAAGGCAGTAATGTGTGCGTACAGACACACAAACAGTGATTTGGGAGGATCACAGCTTTATTGCTCGTTGTGTTTTGTAGCCTGAAGCTTTAAGCAGGTTCACATTTTGCACATTAATAACGCCCGGATCAGTTTGGTGTTACAGGGTGTGGACAGACCAGGACAGCAGCAAACCTTTTTATTATTCATAAGAGCAGATTTTCAACACCACACTAATTGAGTCATTTATTCGTTTACTCTGAACGCGTTCCGAAGTTCTAGTTTTGTTTAAAGGCAATATGCCGGTCTTTTTAACGCACGTTGTTCCAGAGTGCCTTGAAACTGCAGCAATCGTGCTACATTTTTGTGGAAATTATTAATGAAATAGTTTTAAATTTTGAGCTAAAACAATTGACAGGAGAAATTTTATCCTGATTTCTAGAAACAAGCTAAAAGTAGTAAAAACATAACTATAAATAAATAAATAATAAAAAAATTAAACTACTAAAACATTGTTAAAAGTACATAAAGTACTAGTACTAGTTAAAAGACAAAATAATGCTAATTAAACTAAACAAAATGTGAGTTAAAGGAAATAAAATGCTTGTTAATGTGGGGTTTTCAGTGTTTTCTCTTCCTGGTGTTCTGCTCCTGTCACACCTGTCCTCCTTCCTCATCACCCCAGGTGTTTGTCTTTCTTCCTCATCACCCCAGATGTTTGTCTTTCTTCCTCATCAGTGTCTCTACATATTCTGCGTCCTTGCGTCTTGTCAGTTCTCTGTCCGTTAAGGCTTTCATGTCCTGTCTCCCTCCGTGTCTCATCTACTCCTTAAAAGTAAGTTTTGCTGCTCTGCCAGCATTTGGTTTGGTTTATTTAAAATAAACTGTTTTTATTACTTTTACCTTTGGAGTTCCTTGTTGCCTTCATGCTCGTGGGTTCAATACATTAGTTAAAAGAAACATAATTAAATAAAATGTGAGTTAAAAGAAACAAATTTCTAGTTAAAAGATAAAATGCTAGTTAAAGGAAATAAAATGCTTGTTATAAGAAACATAATACTAGTTAATGAAATGAAATGCTAGTAAAAAGAAGCAAAGTGAAATGTAAAGCTAGTTAAAAGAAAAAAAAGCGTATAAAAAAATTACCTAAAAGCTATGCAAGTTGAATGCTAGTTAGCAGCCAAAAGTAGCAAATAATAGCTAAAAGTAGCAAAAGCAGGGCTTAATTTGAGCCTGATCCTGTTGGAACAGGATCCAGGAACTCTCTTATTTTGACAGGGTGTGTTCTGGTAACTGTTTGCTTGGCTCTGCTCTCAGTCTTACTAATAATAAATTTATGAACAAAGATGACTGCCTTCAACAAATAAAACTTATATTGGATATGTAACTGAAAATAATTACATAAACACTAATTTTAAACACAACACGACTTCTTAATATCACATACGATCATCTGCCTCGTCAAGTGAAGCATTTCTGCCTCTACTCTTAGAATAAATCTCCGTCCCTAAAAGAGAGGTGGGATTGAGTGCCTGGAGGTTTCACATGTGGAGATGGCCAGTGAATTCAGCGGAGAAGAGTCGGCTTGGGGGGGTGGGTGTGCTTGACAGAAGAAGAGGGTTTACAAATGTAGGTAAACATATTTGTTTAACAACCCATTAAAATACACCAAAATGCATGAAATTGAATCTATTATATATATATATATATATAT